AAATTTATTAAAAATTTATTTTGTATAATTGTATATGTGCGCGAAATATACAACAATCATAATTTCGAAATTCAAGCACGTAACATATCATGAAGCAAAAGTGACTTTGGTCTCAGCTTTTATCTCTGGCGAATGAATAAAGAAAACTCGGAAGTTCGATGTCACAGAGCATAGATTTTATTCATATAGGAAAAAAAAATCATTCATAGAGATATGTTGCCGGCGTCATTTACAAAGTTTCTCATACGCGCATTTAATACGCTTACAATTTCGTTCGCAGTTCCATTATATGATATAAAAATGATCATTACACTATTGCGGTAGATATCATTTAATTCTCAGTTCGATTAAATTAGGAAGCAAGCATGTACTTATGTACATAACAGTCCTCACGCGGTGCCGTGAGGCATCCCTCTTCTAAATAAAAAGCGTCAGAGACGTGGCTGTGCATCACGTTTTATCGGGATATTCATGGGATTTTTGGGAATTCATAACGCAAACTAGCTATTTTACGATCTCACGTTCTTTCTAGCGAAAACCAGTTCCTTCAAATTTCGTATTAAAAAATATGAAGATTTCCTTTCCCTTTCTTTCTTTTTTTTCTTCTAATTTGCTAACGTCTCTATGTATACTTTACATGTTTACTGATCTAGGTAGATCTGACAAAATAAATATCGTGGGATCGATTCTTTAAAAAATATATATTACAATATTGCACTTAAGGTAAATGTACACACGATAAAACGCGTATAAAATATACAATGAATTCCTCTATCGAGGCACTAACGACAAGGAACACAGAAGTGTCACATAGTGCATGATGCATGGTTATTTGTGCATAGATTTTTAACGTTTGCATTTATACGATTTTATCATGTCTTTTAGGCATCGTAACTTTTCGACCTTAAGTAGAGGAAACTTAAAAATTCAGAATACACATAGGTATATCTATAAGATTAAATATATTATTTGCTATACAGTGTATATTCCAGTATATTTAAAAGATAAATATAAATCTATCTTTTATAATAAAGCATTTTCTGTGAATTTAAAGACAGTAAATTGTATTTTTCTAATATAATTTCGTATTACTTAATTTCTTAATACAATTACTGTACTACTCTAGAAAATTCAAGAATCAATTCAAGAATGTATTTAAAACATATTTTTCTTATAAATTTTCAAATAGAACATAGATATACCTACAAGTAGTCTAATCCAATCAATAATACAAGCATACGTCACGTGTACATCCAATTACACACATACATACGTTTTTAGTTGTAGTAACTCGTATTCATATTATATAATTATAATGCAATCGTTAAATCGATAAGATGAACAAAATTTCAATACCCTTACACTCCACATTGATCGTACAACAGATAGTTATTTTTGGACATAAACGTCGCATTTTGTATATTTCGTAATGACATTACCATCCAGCGCTAAATGAATTAGATAACTATATTGTATTAACTATATCAGCCAACCGCATAGCGTGATACTAATAATTACAAAACTTGATAATTGAGTTGTGCTTACAGCACGGAGACATTTCGTGTAAAGTCTTCTCTCATACAGTTCTTTTAAAACTTTGATACGGTTGGCACATCGTTGACAATTTCACGTAATTACGTTATGTCAAAGGTAGAAGGTGTACACAGATGTGATTTATACAGTTACTGAAATTTAATTGATTGTAACATTATGTAGCGCAGATACGAACAAAACTAATTTAACGAAATGAAAGAACTGATTAGAGATAAAAATTAATGCCTGCTACATTAAAATCATTAATAAAATCAATAATAAAATTTTTAAGATTTGTTTATAAAATTTCTCTCCTATGTATGTTAAAGCTAAAATAATATAAGAAATAAGAGAAGTGTACATAAATAAATGTATTTAAATAGCACTTTTAAAATGTTTTGGCCATTTAATGTATAGTTATTATGATAACAAAAAGGATCAGTATAAAATATAATTTCAAGTCAACATATTGCATAGTCAATTAAATAAAAAAAAATCTCCATTTTAATAATCTATGAGCATCAAACTATTAATACCTACTAATATCTATTATTATCAATTGTCGTGTACAAGACTGATCATTAATACAAAAAGAGAGAGAAAATCTGTCGCAAATAAATACATGAATGTAATTATTAGTTCATATACGTATATAGCATACGTATATACACAATTTTGTATTAAAAGTTTCGAAATAATTTAATTCATCGTGTTCTAATTACGTATTATCCATTTATGCTCTCTTTATGTACATTTATAAACTTATTCGTTATGTATTGTTCATGAACGCTAAATAGTAGTTTGGAATAATGGATGGAATGAGAGTATTGTCGATTAAAAACTAGGATATACATTACACTTGTGAGTTCACTTATGCCTCTTTTCTCAAGATGTTCGTATACGTATCTTGAGAAATACGTACGTTGAGAATCACATATTTTCTATAAAACATGTATTATGTATATGTCATTGAGAAGCACATTCATTAATTGCACGCTGTTCGTGCAAATTATCGCATAATATTATGTAAAAACACACAGGTATAAACACATAGGTATAACCTAAATGTCGCAATATATTGTAGATAATTTCGTCTCATAAAAATAAATGAGAGATTAACGAGCCGCGACAATTATGTCGTATTTGTTTCAGCGACTAGTATTTCAGTTCACAGATGCTTCTATAGCTCTGTCATTATACTGCTCTAAACCTTGCCCATATTATATAAAAGAGATATATATTCGAATATAATTTTATATTGCTAGATAATGATGTCTTATATTTTTTTGTATAATTTTCAAGCTTTCAAGATATGCTGTATGTAAAGCTAATATAATGTTCTCGACTGTTATTTTGAAATATCATGAGTTAGCAACCTCAAGATGGTTAATTAATGATGTCATCTATTTGAAATAGTAAGACCTAAAATTTTTTTCGTTCTACGCACATTCGTATTGAATAGAGCGATATATAATAAGCACATTCAATAAACATATTGCAGTTACATTGTATGAAAATACATTTGTGAGATTACTTCCCTTAGACGGCCTAGACAATAAAATTCGATAATTGCATAATTCGTATGTTTTCTTAAAAATCTCGAATTTATCTTATCTTCATTATGAAGGCCACTCAAAAGACGGGACATGTGATAAGATTTCACTATTTGAAACTAAATAAATTGCCACTTCGTAACACACATCATAGAAAACATATCACTTAAATATTAATTTAAAATTTTTAAATAGAAAATAGTAAAACTTTTATTATATATCATTAATATTTTATCACACGCTTCATTGCAATAATGTCATACTTAATCCATAATTGCCAGACTAAAAATAGCCAAGCGAAATAATGCAAGCAACACGAATTGATTTGTATTGGAAAAAACTCCAACTATACGAAATTGTAATATTTGAGAAAAATTTAACAAAAAATTATAAATATTTTTAGCAAATACGTAAAATTTTATAATTATAAAAGATCTTTTTACAAATTTCTTAATTTAATCACATATTATATATATGTTTGCACTATTTAACTTCGCTTCTTTAATCAATATTAATTAAAATTTTGGACGAAATACATTTCCTTGTACATAATCTCAACTGTTTAGTATTTATCGTTGGGCATTTATCGTGGTATCGTCAGCATGTCCAGCATTTATAAATAGCAAGTAAATATAATATTATGCAGCAAGACTCTTTAATTCTGGCTAATTCTATATTCGTGATTTATGAGATTAATACCTGTGTTGTTGAATAATATTGTTGTATTTGAGTATATCTCCCTTCAATTTTGAAGAGAATGTAAAAATTGAAAGAATACACAAAAAATCAGTATATCTCAAAGTTGAAATGCAATATTGCATATAGTAATATACACATTGATATATAAAGCAAGATTGATATTTCACATGTTTAAATATCACAAATTTTATGAGAAATTGTCATAAATATTTATAATATAAATTAACGAAAACTAAAATCAAAACAATATATATATATATATATTCAAATTAAAAAATTATAGTTTAATAATATTCTGTTTTGCTTTTTAAAAAATATTTTCAAGATATTATCAAAATGTAAAATCACGTTTCAAAAAATACTAAACAAAAAATGTAAAAGTACAAGTATAGATCTATTAATAGAGCATTAATGTTTTATATTGCAGATCATCTTTTCCAATTTCATTCGTTGTAAAAAACATATCTACAACTGAATAGTACAGTCAATTATTTACATGGAAAATATTTCCATAACAAATTTATTCATTTATACAAGGTGAATCAGAATCATTGAACCAGCTTTTTACCCTATGAAAAAATTATTTACTGCATACCTAATTGGATTATAACGTGTGAAGTCGATAATTTTTTCAGGATAAAAAGCTGATTCGATGACTCTGATTCATCCTGCATATAATTTTCAAAAATTCATAACAATATATTTTTGTCACAAATTTCTAAAAATTATCTCTCTGATCTATTGTGCAATTGATCTCTACATTATTTTCTGTGTTAATTATATATCTGTGTTAATAAATGAAATATTGAAATAAATATTATTTCTAAAAGATCAGAAACATATATATTAATATATAGCATCTCTAAAACATTTAGGCCAGGTTACACTAACGTTATTTTGACTTTAAGCAAGGCTTAAAACTCTCTCTCTCTCTCTCTCTCTCTCTCTCTCTATTTCTCTTTTGCTTTAAAACGAGACAGAGTGTTTCTTGCCTCGTTTAAAGTCAAAATAATGTTGGTGCAATCGGGCCTTAGTAATAAATTATATATATTTTTACATAAATACGAATCATGATATCTAACATTTCAGATAAGTCAGATTTTTTATTTTAAATAATATTAATTAAATAATGTATAAAATTTTTTGCACAAAGACTCAGATTTTGTTATCACAATAAGAAAACTTCAATTTTGCTATACCTTTTGATACATTAAATTACGAAGAATATTGAACCAACATTTGCTGGAACGTTGTCGTTCCAACAGTAGTAGACATTTGACTAATACTGTTGAATAAGGATTCTGCTTGTAGATTCTCTGGTAATCTAGTAAGAAATTGTGCGCCGTGTACAAAATCCATTTTTAATAATTCTTCTTGGTATAAGTGCAACACTCCCAGTGCAGTTCTGAAGAGGAACTCGTCTCCATCTCTGAGAAAGATATCCCAGATTCTACATGCAACATCAAGAGGCATTGCTTTAGCATATATAGTATATAACCAATCTAATAAATACAAGTCCGGGCTTAATCCAGCTACGGTAAAATGGGAAAAGACTTTTGGCAGCTTATGCGCAAGAGCACTGGAGTATACTTTATAGTAAGTATTCATTTTTTTTTGGTCCAATGTAAAGGCGGCTCTGTGACAAGGATAATTTAGCAGATTCGCGAAGCAAGCAAAGGCGTCTGGTGGTTCCATGTTTAATGATAAAACAGCACCCACAAAACTCATACCTTGCACATAGCCTACATCCGGTCTATATACAGCATATGCTGCCAAAATACCCTGAAGGCTATCGAATAATGGTCCACCCTCTTGAAAGACACATAAGGTAGGAAAGGTACGAGATACGTCTAATCTGATTGCGGCTAATGACTCATTGTTAGAGCTCGACATTGCTCTGTCTAAGCAAAGATTATAGAGGTGCGGCGTTACATTCAAATTATTCGAAATTGCTAATTTCCATACCCTACCACGAACACTTGGTGGTAACCCACGCCACCACAGTTCCCTTACTTTTTTCGTATTCTTAACGCTTTCAAATTTAGATAAAACATGTACATTCCACGTGTTGGAATCCTCGGCTAATCTTTTCTCTTCTTTTAACTGATATTCCCGTTGTTGCTTACGCTCTTTCTCTTCGCGCAATTCTCTCTTCCTTGCTGCTTCTAAAATTGCATTGTATTGCTTACGATGACGTTCCTCTTCCAGTGCATTTTTAGCTGGTAAATTTGCTGGTCTCGGCTGTTGAATTAAAGCTGTACTACCGCCTACCTTGTCAATATTTCTTGATGGGCTACCGGTAGGTGTTGAATGTTGAGAACCTCTATTCTTCCACGAAAACACATTCTTTGTAAAAAGCGTGTTCAGTCCCCAACGTTTGGGTATTTTATCACTTTTTTCTACAATGTGTTGTTCATCAGATCCTAGAAAGCTACCAGAAGGTGATATTTCGCTAAGGGAAGACACTGTGCTGCTACATGAGCGTGGCAAACTATTTCTTGGACTACTGTTTGCACTGACATTCTCGAGCTTCATATATTTGTCCGTATCAAGTTTCATACTTGACGTTTGTTCCTTACCATTACATGGAGATTCTAGGTATTGTGAAATACAGTCGATTTGTGCATTGCTGGGCATCCTGGTCTCCTCCACCGAATACAGCTGTTTCGTGGAAGGATTATAAGCCAAGGACATGCTTTCCAGAGCATGATTCAGGCTGGTTCCTGCTACTCCGACAGAGACGACGTTACCAGCGTCGTACCATTTGTTCTCTCTGATGTGTACACACAGGGCCTTGGTCTTTGCCGCTGGTATAGGCGCTACGTCGCATGCCAGTGCCTCGTCGACGTTGACGCTGTCACAGCGTACTGTGTCTCCGTTCAAGGACACTAACTGCTGCTTACCAATCTTCGGCGCGATATTGCTGGCGATATAGCAACCAGACTCGCGTCCAGTGACCTTCACCATCTGGAAACTATTGACAGCATTGTTGTGACGAGACTTAGCGCTTCCTAATGTCTGTAGACTCGGCGACGGGACGGGATGCGCATTGGTCCCGTTCAGTCGTTGGGACGTCGTAGGACTCTTCATGACAGCCTCCTAACCTTGGCGACGTATCCAGATCGCCTCTGATCGTCGAGAACAGCCGTTCACACGCCGAGTCCTTCGACGAGTGAGGCTCACGAATTCGTGCATACGCATGCTTTCCAATCGATTGTCAAGGACTTGGAATGGGTCGGCATGGAAAACGACCCTTGATACCTCGATACTTTCGATCCGACAACACGTCGATAACAAGCGATCTCAAATGACTTCAACAGGAACAAACAGTGATAAACGTCACGCGCACATCATATGTATCACGATGTGGTCTCGCGACGCTGAATGCCTCGCCTCGTAAAATCGTAATCAAGTCGCTAGTCTGCTAGATGAGACTAGTCGGTCGCGTCTAAAAATACACGCAACTAATATCGGAGAGAAGACCGGAACGAGAAGCTCAGTGGCAAAAGGTCACATTCTTTGAAATCAACGAACTCAAATCGAAAACTTACGTGCACTCACGTGCACCATCGTTGATTAACATGCACGACACTAACAAGTGACAGACAGGCACTGACGATGATTTCACGATGAATCCGCTACTTGCGCATTAAAGGCCGTTATACATGTAGAGACATAACGTGATTCATCGATGAAATTTATAATCAATACACTTACATTTTGGTAGAATATTGACTATAATCAAATTCTGATTAACTTAATCAGCGTTTCAAAAGATCGGATTAATGATGACGAATTGTATAATTAAAAATTATATTTTAAAAAGTTTTTTAAATTAATCAATGGTTTGATAAATTAATTGCTGATTAGTTTATCTAGTAATAGTTTTTAAGCAATATTTTATAGATAGAATTATCTTTTTTTTTCTCATAAAAAAAAGATTAGAAAAGAAGAAGATTATCCAAATAAAATGGATATAAGGTTTGAATAGGAGAAGATGAGATCAGAAGTAAAAAAAAATATATAGTTAAAATATTTTTGTAATTCTGCCGTTGAATTAATTTAATTGGAGTTTGCATAGTACGACAAATTAGACAATTTCCAGCAAGGACACAGTGTAACACAGTAAATAATTATTCTTATTTAATGTCAAACTACAATTAAGGAATAATGTACTGGTGTTTCACTGCATATACTTATTATATTGGAAAATACATATTGTTTTTAGCAGAAAAGCTTTGTACAACTATATAAAATTCTTTAATATAATTTTTGTAATTTTTGTCCTTAGTTTCTCATTGAATTTAAATGTATAAATCATATTCAAGAATTTTACAACAGTTGCAAAGCTGCTTTCTCTGCTGAATGTAGCCAAAAGCCCTATGTTCACTGTGCTAGCACTCGGTCCGAGTTACTAGATCGAGAAACGTGTAGCCAATCAACTTGCCGTTTTTCTATAAAAACTATATGTTGATTGGTTACACATTCTTAGATCCAAGAATTCGAATTGAGTTCTAGCAGCGTGGACACAGAATTTTATTGGCTGCGTTCAGAAGAGAAAGCAGTTTGTAAATGTTCTAAAAATGTAAAATGTTTCACTGATTAATTCTTGTTTTTAATTCCTTATAGATCTAATCAGGGAGATTTTTACTAAGCTTCTGACTTAATTCCAACAGAAACTGATGTCGGAGAATATCTTCGGAGAATGTCTCTGATATCTGTTTCAATTGGAATCCTGCAAAGTTACTAGATCAAATTAACCAGAGCTTGATAAAAACAGAAAGAAACCTAAGAAAGATCATTTTTTTTCTGTTACCATCGAAATCGCCCGTACACTATCGCCAGTACATCCATTTTCAATTTAAGAACTATATATACGTGACTATATATACTTTCTGACACTATCGATAAAATCGTATCATTGAAAGTAGATATGGTTCGTCTCTGTACTAAATCCTCAAGAAGTGCCGACTATTCATAGAAGGGATAGTTTAATGGGTCTTTAAACAGTTTTAATTTCGCATATCCTACATATGTAAATAAAAATTGTTGAATTTTAATAAACAAAACTGAAAATTCAAACAAGTTAATTTTGGTAATATTGTCTTATAATATTTATCTTATAATATCTTATGAAATTACAAAGTTATGCAAATTCTGCATATCTTTATGCAAATTTTCAGCCCGTTTGTATCAAACATATAATTATTTTATATATATAATAAAGTTTGTATAATTATTAGCAAATGGACTTTTAATAAATTCAATCTTATCTAAACATACATTGTCAATTTAAGCATAAACTATAATTTAGCAAAAACGAGAGACTCTCTCCGCCAATTTTATCGGCGATTCTCTTTTTTTTGTAAACATCCATAAAAAAAACGAGTTACTATAATAAATTTAATAACCGTTTTTTGTAAGTAAATATATCTTTAATTAATTTTTTTATTTTTACCTTTAATTATTTTATTGTATTTCACTAATGAAATAACATTTTTAATATTATTTTTTATTGTATTATCCTTTATACAATTCGATATTGCAACAATTATAACAATTATTTACAATATAATATATAATTATTAATGCTGTTCTAAATAAAATAAAAATGATAATATTAGGTGTAGTAAAAAGAAATCCATTATTTTTCCATTCAATTTCATGCAAAAATAATGGATTTCTTTTTACTACACCTAATATAAGAGCATAATTAACAAATTTTAATAATGCGAGATTATACGAAAAAGTCGAAATCACGTATGATAACACAAATTTTTCTAAACCAATATTTAATAAAATATTGATAAACGCAGAAGAAATACTAACAACAATTAGATTATATTTACTATTAATTATTAATTTGCGAATATAAAACATAATAATATCGCGAAAAAAGTCATTAATATATATAACAGCACTATTTCATTACATTCAAGATAACTATCTTAATAATTTCATTATATCAAAGTCCTTCTGCCTTGTAGTATGCTGATTATAATATCCGATACAAAGAAAAATCATCTTTTTATGGAGAGCGAACTTAATGTATTCTACGTAAAATTCACAAGATCCATTTATAAAAAAAAGTTAATCATTTGTCAAATACTAGTGATCTTGTTACAGAAGAGTGTGCATCCCGAATCTTTCAGACTACTTATGATAGTAATAATTTTGATAGCATGTCAATTACAATTACTATTTTTGTCACATCTTTAATATAATATTTAAATTCGCGAGAAAATATGTTCTGTCACACGTCACTAAAAATCATCTCTTATTAAAAATAAACAGATAGAATGATTTCCTTATGCAGTTAGTAATTACGAAAGATTATATATATATATATTTAATAAAATACATGCGTTATTATAATTTTTTGTATGTATGGATACAAAAGTTTCTTGAGTATCTGTCGAGATAAGTCGAACCTAATAATAATGAGATTTTAAAGAACTATACTTTTATACTAAAAAATATATTATATAAAATTTTACAATTTCTTATTTTTTGTATTTTCCAAAAATTTAATTATTAATATCCCGTTAATATGAAGGTATCCATTCGACTTATCTCAAATTTTTTGTACACATAATTTTAATTAAATTCGTTATTCACGACAACATTATAAAAGAATATAAAGCATTTTGGTAAAAATTAAAAATCAAAATTTGTTAAATATAATTTTATAATATTTGCATGTATTTTATTATGGGAAAATTTATATATATATGTATATATATATGTATATAAATTAATAATTAATAATATTCTGAGTGGCGGGATCCAATATCTAAAAACGATTTTTTAAATAACAATTAGAAAATTAAATATACACATTCGTAACTACATTTTTGTTAAAGCAATCATCAAAAAATAAATAAATTATTTGTATAAAATTTAAATTTATTTGTTTAATAACTTGCATTTAAACAAATAATCATTCTATCCATATTACTCATACTAAATTCTTATTGTCATTGAGACAGTTTATTAATAATATTATTACTAGTGGGAGAACATTTAATAAAATTAAGAAAGCGATAAAAATTATACCATAAAATATATCACTGAATCAATTTCGTAACGTAATTTTAAAATATGTAGCAATTGTTATTGAATCATTGATAAAATTATTACTTCCAGAAATTGACGGAAAATCCAGGATTAATTTCGATCTATACAAGAATCTCCAATGGAACATCTAAACTAGATTTTGCGAATGGACTTTACGGAAAGTGACGAGGAATAATTCTCTATGAAATAAAAATAATTACGACTTTCCATCGGTACAAACCACGCATTCACTAGCATCCATCTGACACGACGGATAGCGATGAGGTCTTTATATATGTATAATAAATTAATCACTAAGATATAATATAAGTTATAATTCTGTAATATTAAAAATGTAAATGTCAAAAAGCAAGTAAAAAGTTAATATTTAATTATTGGTTCAGTCAAAGATCCAATCTTTACTTATTTAATATCAAACTTAATTTAAACTAAATAATCAAAATTATTTAATAAATATATATACTATTATAATATAAATACAAAGAAAATTGATGATTATTCTAAATATCAAATTTTTAATTAGAAATCACTTAAAATTATTAATAACTTTCTAATATTCAAAATAAAATCCAAATTAAAAAAAAGTTTCAAGATTAAATATTTGTCAAACTTGTTAAATCAATAAATTTTTGTTATCATATATTCCGTCTATTTCATGTAATTTACATCGATAAAATAACAAAAAATTTGTTTACTACAAGATAAATGGTATTTGTATTGAATAAAGATATTCAATAAAGATATTCAATAAAGATATTCAATAAAGAATAAAGATATTCAATACTGATATACATATATATTCCGATAAATATATACTTTGTTAGTAATTATTGTGCAAATTACAAAAGTAAATATGATAACATTTATCTGGACATAGTTTACATAAATTCTATATCACCTAATATTATCATACATTTATTTATATAAACTTAATTATAATATTAATGCGTTACATAATTTGTATAGAATTTTACAAAAAGTTTAATTTCAAGGCTGAAAAGGCAATGAAATTTAAAATTAATTTGATTTATTTTCATATTTGATCATTAGAATGGGATGCTGATAATTAAATAAAATTTAAAATTAATTAAAAATTTTATTTAATTTTTAATCCCTCCTTTCCAATTATCAAGTATGTACAGATAATGTTTTTGTATCCCTATACTTACATATTATATAGTTTACTGTTTAGATTTATTATGTGATATTTTTTAAGTTTAATTATATTTATTTTTTTATTTTTTTAAATAAAATTTAATTGAATCCTGTTCGCGAAAGTTATTTAATTTGTAATAATTTAATT